GATGGGGATAGTAGGGGGTGGGAATTAAAGAGCACACTTATCATGATGAGCACTGAATAATGTACAGAATTGTTGAATCACCATATTGTGCACCTGAAACGAATACAACACTGTATGTTAACTATACTGGAATTAAAGTAAAAAACTTGAAAAATGAATCCATAATTAAATGACCTGCTCCAAGTTATTGGTGGAATATTAAAAAGTCAGTAGTTGACCTGACCATTGTTGGGGACCTTAGGTATGGGTCCCTATCCTTAATATTGCCTCTGAAACTCAGAGAAGAATGGTCTCTAGCCAGCTTTCCAGTATCATCTCTCCCCACTGTCTCCTTCACCATCAATACTCCTGCCCCTCTGACTTTGTTTTGTCTCCTTAGAAGTTCAAGGGTCTTAGTAACTCACAACCTTTGCACTATCTGTTCCTGTCACCTGGGTAAACTCTTTTTTTTTAAAGATTTTATTTATTTACTTTGAGAGAGAGAGAGTGAGCACACATGAGTGCAGGGAGGGGCAGAGGGAGAGGGAGAAGCAGACTCCTCTGTGAGCAGGGAGCCCTGTGCGGGGCTCGATCCCAGGGTCCTGGGATCATGACCTGAGCCGAAGGGAGATGCTTAACTGACTGAGCCATCCAGGTGACCCTTACCTGGCTAACTCTTAATCATCCTCCAAATTTCATCTTAAAGTGTCATTCCCCAAGGAGGTCTTCTTTTATTCCTTAGATAAGACTAAATCTCCTTGGGGTGTGCTCTGATAGACATAACCCCCATTACAATTGAAATGACTTATTTAATGTCTATTTGATTAACCAGACTATAAGCACCACAAAAGTGAATTTTTTTCAGCACCCTGTCCCCACTATCTAGTGCACTGTGTAACACGATTAATACTAAAAAAAAATTATTGGCTTGCATTAAATGACTTTTCCAAGCCAGTTTAGAAATGTCAAAGTGAAGACTTGAAACCCAATCTATCTGACCCCAAAGCCCATTTTCTCTTACCTTTTTTCCCTCACTGTGCATCCTTCTCCTCTCACCAATTCTTAGATTCCCTAGAATAGTGGTCATGTGATCATCCCTTTGTGGAGGTAAATCTCATTCTCTGGGTTCAGAATCTGCTACCTCAGTCCTGCAAGTATCCCAGGTATGTGAAGACCAGGGAACAGCTGCCCAGGGACTCTGCTAATGTGGTAGGTATGTGTTGGTTTCAAAATATGTCCACAAATTCTTAAAAATATATATGTCCACAAATTCTTTAATACTTCTCTTTTGAAGAAATGGAGCTTAATTCCACTCCCCTTGGGTGTAGACTGGACTTAGTAACTCATGTCTAACGAATAATTTTGGCAGAAGTGACTGTTTATAAGTTCTGAGACTAGGTCTTAAAAGACATTGGATCACTTGCTCTTGGATCATTCACTATGGGGGAAGTAAACTGCCATGTCTTGGAGACAATCAAGTATCCCCATGGAGAATTCCATGTGGTGAGAAACCACAGCCTCTTTCCAACAGCCAGCAAGGAACTGAGGCCTCTGCCGACTGAGCTGTGTAAGGGTGCCATCTTGGAATATCAGATCTTCCAGCCCAGTCAGCCTTCAGATGACTGCAATCATGGCCAACATCTTGACTGCAATCTCATGAGACCCTCTGAACTATAACTACCCAGCTAGGCTGCTCCCAAATTTCCAACTCACAGAAACAATGAGATAATGTTTATTGTTTTCAGCTGGTACATTTGGGGATCATTTGTTACACAGCAATAAATAACAAATACTGAGTAAAATGGAGAGCAATGGTAGGATCAGAGCAAATAAGCAAACCATAGAGGCAATTCTTTGGAATGAGGGAAAGACCAGTTATGTGTGGGAAGTCTTTTTCTTTTCATGGGTGTGATTATGTTATGTTGATTATAACAATGCTGCAGTGGGAGGTAGGGTACTAGGGTAGAAGGGAGCCTGAGAACCCTGCTAGGCAGTGAAATAGAAGTGGGCATCCAAACATGAGCCCCAGACAACCTGAGGATGGTAACACAAGAGAGGAGACAGGAACCATGAGTCCAGTGGCAAATGTAGCATCCATAACCAAGCACTGAACTACAGAAGGATATCTAAAAGTAGGAGCCAAGACACCAAACTGCTATAGAATCAGTGGCATGTCTGAAGTCACAACAAAAACAAAGGGAGTAGAAACAGAAGATTCTGTTGTGGGTCTTCTGCTTCAGCTGGCTGAGTTCCCACACACTTTTTATATAGACGTTTCTGCTCCTAAAGCACCTTGCAGTGGATGAGGTTGGGCCCCACCCCATCCCCTTTACCAATTAAGTGTTGACTGATAACTCTCGAAGCTGCCTGCTCCCTGGAGAACTGCCCTGAGCCAAATGCTTTGCACCCATCCATCACCCTATCAACAGACCTCAGCCAGTGACTAAATGGCATGAGGGTACAAAAAGCCAGTGCCCTTGCCTTGAGATAGAGCTAACTGGTGCAATTTATGCTCTAGAGCTTTTCCAGGGGATCAGATTTAAGCTAGCATCCAGTTGAGACCACATTCTCCCCTTACCCTAACGTGCTTCCCTCACTTCTCTTTCCTAAGAGTACTGCAACAAATCACCTGAACAAGAATCCCATTTCAGGATCTGCTTCTAGGGAACCAATCTACAATGCCCCTTAAAGACATCTAGTACTTTCTGTGTGTGTGTGTGTGTGTGTGTGTGTGTGTGTGTGTGTTGGACTGAACACAAAAGAGATATCAGTGAGTAATTTATCTAAGTGTTTATCGGTTGTAATGAATTTGTACCGTATCAACCTGGCTAAGCTAGAACAACTTCGTCCAGAATCTCCTTCTCTATTTGGTCCAAACAAAAAATGTACACAAGATTTAGAAGGCAGAAATGAAATAGGAGTCCTGTCTGAAAGTTGTGGTTGGATGCAATGAGAGATGTTAGAAGTGCTGATGTGTTCTAGATAAGCCTGGCTCTTCCAACTAGGTGTCTAGCTCTTCTTTCCAGCTGCTGGCACTGCTGACCAACAGCAACCCCAGGCCTGCCCTCAAATGCAAATGGAAAGGCAATAGCTTACCATAGATTTCTCCACCAGCTCTTTACAGACCCACTCCAGCAGCTGATGTGCCTGGCTTCTCAAATTCCCCAGCAGGACATAACTTGTCCCTTCATGCCAATGTGTCAGGAGGGTTGGTAAGCAATTTTCTCTCATCCTCTAACTCTGTATTTTAGGCTTTACTTCTCCAAATTTCTCCCTAATTGTGAGAGGTCTTATTGCTATAATAGGTCCTAATTTCCATAATATTCAAGGTGGTTTGCTTCTCTGATTGAGTCCTGATACCTGATACATTCATACACTAATTATATTTAACTGCCTTACTGCATAGTAACTAGTAACTGCATATATATCATTCAATGGATGTTAGATTAATTTTGTTGATGTTGTTTTTCACTAGGAATAGTAAACTTTCTAGAGATATACTCGATGTTCAGAGCTTACTATTCTTTTAGCATGGTCACTTGAAGAGAACTTTACAAAATTAGAGGGAGAATTGAAAAAACACTGAGACATTGGCAGGCATCAGCAGTGCAGGAATGATGGCGGGTTTTCATCTGGAGAATGACATAATTGGACTTTCAATTTCATCATCCTGGTTGAAATGTGAAGAATGAGTTTTAAGGAGGTTGAGAGTGGAAGTTATAGGGAGCAATTAGTAAGATAGTGCAATCATCTAGGCAGAGATGATGGTACGTAGACTAAGGTGGATAACCATTTCAAAGGTAGCAAAAGTATCTTTGGCTCTGAACCACCATCATAGAATGACTGGGACATTTAACCTCTCAAATTCCCTCTTTTTCCTTGTGGAAATCCCCCCAAAACTTATATGCTAGCACTATTTAATTTGTTATTGTTGAATAACATTTGTATGGTCCTTACTACCTAGCCACTGTTGTAAATGCTTTTCAAAGGTTCATTTAATCCTATAATGGCTACTGGTGCAGTTTTCCTGGTGTCTTAAGTTGGTAGCCAAAACCTCCATCATCACTGAATGCCATTGCTGTTTCTCTCCCCTCTGTTGGTCTGGATGATGGAGTTTACTTCTCATCTTGTGGTTGCTGTTACTCTCTCTGACATGGGGAGGTCTATCAGTTGGGTTTTGTGGTTACAACCAACAGAAATGGACTCAGGTTATTTTAAGAAGTTAATTTTCTGTGTAACATTAGGTACTACTACTCACCCCTTTGAATATTCAATATCCACATACACCCTTATTTCCATATTTAGACACACACACACACAAATTCCTACTAAATATAATGCATCTCTTCTTCATAATAACAAAAAATGTACTCACTTCCTCTCTGAAGGGAGACAATCCAAAGTTTCATTAGACACTGCATGCAGAATTTCTGAGCGTTGTCCACTTCTTCTTTAGTCCAATACGACCTCATATTGATATTCTACAACCTATGGACTAAATTTTGAATTTAAACACCATAAACACACCTATATAGAACAGTGAAAGAACAGGGAATTTGTTTTATATTCAAGTTGGGAATTATGGATGGAGACTACATTGTTTTATAGCTGTTTTTTTCAAACCAGAATCCAGTCATAGTTCATTAATTGCATTTGATCACTAGTAGACTGCATTTTCAAAGGCTTCATCTCCCACTTTTTGGCATGCATATGTATCTACAGTACCTGCTACTTCTGAATCTGTGGCAGATTGTATTTTCCAAATATATCCACTCTTTACATTTATCCCATCCCACATGTTCTTCTTACAATGTGATTGTCACTGCTCCCACTGGTGGGTGATACTTCCTCCCCTCTTTAACCTGGGTGGGAGCTGGTGCCTATTCCAACCAAAGAAGTACAGTTAAGTGATGCTATGTGCTTTCTAAGACTAAGTTATAAAAAAGATGCAGCTTATGTCTCTCTCTCTCTCTCCCTGGCCCCTCTCTCTTTTTCTCCCACCACTGGCCCTTGGAACCTAGCTAGGGAACAGCCAGTATCAATCGCCAGACACATGAGTGAAGAAGCCTTCATATTATTCCAACTCCAGCCTTGGAGTCTTCTAGCTGAGGCTCCCTTCATCACAGTAGAGGTAAGCCCTCCCTACCCTTTCCTATTTGAATTTTTGATCCATAAAAGCTCTAAGAAATCAATACTTATTTTTGTTTTAAGCCACCAGATTTTGGGGGTAGTTTAATATGCAACAGTAATTAATTAATACACACTCTTAAAAGCATGCTGTCATCAATAGAGCAAACCATAATGATGTCCTGTGGGATAATGAGATAGTCAAGATTTGGTTTGACAAATATAGTAAAGAGGCAAAGAGTTGGTGTATAGCTGAGGTAGGAGTGAAGTTGTACTGTTGTCATTGCCAAGTAAAATCAGCCTGTCTCAAGTGTTAGTATTTTTGGACAAGGGTAAAAATAAAAGCATTTACTAGATGATTAGCTGTGTTCCAGGTGTTAGTAGTATTTCTTTGTTCAAGTAGGAACACTGCATTTGGAACAAAAGTTGCAGTTTGAAATGCCAGATGATTAAGTTTATGATTGTTCACTTTTATGCTCCAAGACCCATCCATATTTACTTAAATAGAAATGTGGTAGGAATCACCACACCTGTATCTTTCAAATCTTTGATGATGGAACTGACTTCTGAAATTTCCTTCAGAAATTAGGTGCCAGTCAATGTCCTAGACACTGAAGATGAACAATGACAGGCAAAATATCTGCCCTCAAGGAGACTACATTCTAGGAAGGGAAAAAGACCATACACAAGCAAACAATTGTACAGTATATTGCTAGGTGATAATAGATGTCATGCAGTAATATTGCTTTTCTGTATTTTGCTAGTGAGAGGGTATTCCAAGAACTTACACTTAGCCCTCTGTTATAATAGCCCATATTCCCTGAGTCAAGAAGTCAGTGTGGGGATGCTTCCAGTTGCTGAGGTTGTCCAATACTATCTGTATCTTTAGGTCTTGGGGAAATAGCCATGAAAAGAGTTTGAGGTCCCATAGGACCAACTATGAGTTGCATTGGGTCAAAATTCCATTTAGCATATGTCCTTCATAAGGCTTATTACCAATATTCAGGACCCCAGTAAATCAGTATAAGTTCAGGATCAGTGTTGAAGAGCCTGTGAATGTTTTGAGTGTGTGCTTTTCTTTTGATCACATTTAGCCATTAAGTGGCTTCAGATCTATAGGCAGAAGATTCACAGTTTATTCTTGTGACATCAGTGTAAACTCCATCCTAAGGCATATTTGATCACATCTACACGCTAGGGGTTCTGCATTGTGAATTCATCCAGGTCTAGTTATTGAGTGAGGTGCTGTGACTCACTTTAGGGATAATGTAAGCCAAGTTCTTTTTTACCAGACCTATCTTTTTAAAAATTGCAGATCAGGGGCACCTGGGTGGCTCAGTCCATTAAGCATCTGACTTGATTTCAGCTCAGGTCATGATCTCATGGATCATGAGATCAGCTCCGGGTCCAGCTCTGCACTCAGCAGGGAATCTTCTTGAAAATCCTCTCCCTCTGCCCCTACCCCCACTCTCAAATAACTCTTAAAAAAAATAAAAAATTGCAAATTGAGTAGGACTTTAGTGGGCTGAGCATCTCTTTCCATCCCAGGAATCCTCTGAACAATGAACCAACACCAACATCTCTGTAGATCAGATCCTTCTGATTACTCTCTGGTCTGTGGCCTATTCAGAAACCAATCACACTCACTTTGCTTCTGGCAAAGGTCTGGGACTTGGTCTCTGCCTCCGCTGCATCCTTCCACTCCCACCCTCTTTTGAGTTGAACCTCAAGCATTGTCTTACATACTACTGATTATCTTAACTAGAGGTGGTTAACTTCTGATCAAGGACAGAAGCCAGAATTTACTAAAGTCCTTGCAAAAAGCTGCATAATGTTATGAAAAAGCTTTCCCCAATTCCTCATCAAATGAACACCTCTCTGCAAAGAATACCATGTAACTCTTAATCACTCTACCAATAGGACTTTAAGGCAGAGATTTGCTTTGGACTTATGCCAAGGTCTTCAAATGAAGCTCTATAGAACTATCTGGAACATTTTATAACAATCTTTTCTGACAAGAAAGGAGTTTAGAGACCTTTCTAAATTCTTTCAAACACCACTATCATTTTATTATTTGAGTGAATGTGCTTGGGGTGAATCCCCCTAGTAAAAAAAAATTCCCTAGCAAATCCTCCAGGGCAGGTCTTCCTATAGCAGGTCTCCATTTTTCAGAAAGATACTCATCACTGCCTCATCTTTAGAATGTGTTCACTATTGGTCTTTCCAGAAGAAACATCTTATTCAGAATTTATTGCTTCTTTGCATTTCAGTGGTAGGGAGATGTGCTAGCTGTATGAAAGGAGGGATCAATAATTTCTGGCGCTTAATGTATAGTACACTTGAGAGGGAGCGCAAGATTTAGAGGAATGAGCCAACGTGGGGTTAATAACTGTGGAGTCCAAAGTGTTGTTTTTTTTTTCAAGAGAACAAATCTACACCTTTATTTACTTTTCATTAAATTTAAATCCCTGAGGGGTACAGCATCACACGGATTCTGTGGCCAATGGCTTTAGCAGGAAGGTTGCTTCGGAATTTGGTACAAACCATGCCACTGTTTCCATGAGCACAAGTTACTTTTCCCCAGATTGCTCTGGTTTTGTTTGGTTTGCCACCAGGAGTCACTGTGTTGTTCTTTGCTTTGTACACATAAGCACATCTCTTGCCTAGATAGAATTCCGTTTCATCTTGAGCATAAACATCTTCGATTTTAAGAAGAGCTGTGTGCTCCCTCTGGTTCCAGAGACCCCGCTTATAGCCAGCAAAAATGGCCTTGGACCACAGCCTTCCAGACATTATTTGGCGTTATAGGAGTCCTGTTCCCAGCAGGCCTCCACAGACTCCAAGATGGTGGGGAAAAAAAAGCAAGTCCAAAGTGATTTTATCAGATACTATTTGAATTTCGAATTCCACCCCCTTCCCATCTTCCCTGCTTTTCCATTCTCAAATGGCAACGCTAAAAGAATCCCTAGTGCATCCCATCTTCTCAGACTTGGGAAACATAGTTCAGAGGAAAAAGTACCTTCTACTGCAATTCTGGTCATTTGGAAACAAGCACAGAGCTCAGGGGATGGCTTCAGTAGGGATCTGAGCCTTTTCCCATCTCCAAACTCATCTAGTTCTTTTGTGGCTGACTTCTATTTGCACGCTTTTTTCTCTGCTCTTTCTTAGGGTTGTTCTTGACCCTAAATTCATTGTTGCCCACCGGGATGATTGACTAAGAGGTGCTCTGGGAAGCTGCATGGTAGTTATAGCTGGGTTCAGACCCTGGCTCTGCAGCCACTAGCCATGTAACTTTGGCTATATCCCTTGGGCTCTGTGAACACCAGTTTCCTCATCTGAAAATGAAGTGAATCAACCCTACTTCAGAGAGTTATTATCAGAATTAGAGAAAACACGTGTAAAATACCTACCCAGATACTTGGCCCATGATAGGTTATAGACTAATAAACATACCAGAACCACATTTGTATGTATTATTAGTAGCATATATTATTGATAATAATATTTGATAATAATCAGCTTTTCACCATAAAAATATTTAAATGTTTTGAGCCTTTACTGTATAGTCACACTTTGAAACTCTCTACATATATTAATTTATTTAATCTTCTCTGCAACTCTGTTACGTGGGCATTGTTACTAACCCAGTGTTGCAGTTGAGGATACTGTGGTACAGAGAGGCCAATTAAATTACCTAAGGTCACACGCTGGGAAGCCATGGAGCCAGGGTTTGAATATAGTCTGGCTCCAAGCTGGCACACTTTACAGGCCATACAGAAATGCTTACTCTAATGGTGTATTAAAAGGATCTGGGGCGCCTGGGTGGCTCAGTTGGTTAGGCGACTGCCTTCGGCTCAGGTCATGATCCCAGGGTCCTGGGATCGAGTCCGCATCGGGCTCCCTGCTCTGCAGGGAGCCTGCTTCTCCCTCTCCCACTCCCCCTGCTTGTGTTCCCTCTCTCGCTGTGTCTCTCTCTGTCAAATAAATAAATAAAATCTTTAAAAAAAAAAAAAAAAGGATCTGTAAGAAAAATATTTTCTATTTTTCCAGCTCCTTCATATTGTACTTTATATTTATTGAAGAGAGAGATGTTTTTAAATGTACCAGAAAACCCAGCAGAGTCATTCCTTATAGAAGTAAGCTGAATTTATGCTCAGCCATGAGGTTCATCCCCTTGTCCCTGCTGTAAGATGCTAAAGGTAATAGAAAATTCGGGGTGCCTGGGTGGTGCAGTCGGTTAGATGTCTGCCTTCGGCTCAGGTCATGATCCCAGAGTGCTGGGATCGAGCTCCGCATCCTGCTCCCTGCTCAGCGTGGAGTCGGCTCCTTCCTCTCCTTCTGCTCCTCCCCCTCGCTCGTGCTCTCTCGGTGTCTCTCAAATAAATAAATAAAATCTTTAAAAAAAAAGAAAGAAAATTCTCCCAAACCAGTCTCTAGAGGAGATATATTGGCTCACTTAACTATATGTCCAAAAGTAAGGCAAGCTCTAGGGTTGGTTGCTCTAGCAACTCAGTGAGATCCTAAAAGACTCAGATTCTTTCTACTTCTCTCGCTTGCCGTCGTCTGTCAGCTTCATCCTGAGCCGGCTGGTCTTGTGGTCCTGTAGCAATTGGAACAGCATGATTCTTCATTCCCCTCTCGTGGGAAAGGAGAAGAGGTCCCAGTGCTCTTTCAAAAGCGTCAAGAAAGGCTTTCCTGAACACCATAGTGTACACGCAGCTTCTCATCCCATCAAAATGGCCAATTAACCTCACGTGCCCCTCCCCGAATCACGCACTGCCATGGAGATGGAGTTACCCTTTAGCCAATCAAACCATCCCTAGAACTTGGGGGTGAGGTCATCTTCCCCGAGGCCCAGGGATGTGGGAGGAACAGAGAAACCTGAACAAAACTGTGGTTTTCTTGGAAAGGGGAAAGAGGGGGATAGTGACAGACAGACAACCAGCATATCCAGCACACTCCCAAGGATACATGATCTATTTTCCATACATTTTCCTATTTTCT